AAACATTTCCAGCAGAAAAGAAAGTAAAATAATTCCTTCGTTACCACAAAAAGCACAAATTTTGTTTTTTTCCCAGTGGAGACAAAGGGTGGGCTGCTAACGGTAAGGAAGAAGAGAGAAGGGGGGAAACAGGGAAGTGACCCCTGAAGACAATACTCCTTTGTCCCTCATCTTTCTCTTTCCTAAATCTAGGATTCACTTTGCTCCGTCTATGCATCACTTTTAAGGACTCCAGATAAGGGCTCTCAATAATCCCAGTTTTGATAATTCAAACAAGAATCCTAGATTTTGCTAGCTTGGGTCTCCTACCAACTCAGACCACAAATCCCTCAATATGGACAGAGTGGATAGAGTATTAGATTGAATAGCAATCAACCAATCGATTGTTGGGCTTGAAGACCTTAGTTCAAATCTTGCCTCAGACTTACCCAGCTGTAGTGACCCCTGACCATGTTATTAAACCTCTGAGCCTCAGTTTGCTTATCTGTAAACTGAGAAATAAAAATAGCACATACTTCACAGAGTCTTTGTGAAGATCATGAAATAATGTATCCCAAACATTGTGCAAACTTTAAATCACTATACAAATGCTAGATATTATTATTATTATACTACGGTGTTATGACCTGCTATGGCCAAAAAACCCCTACACAATATATGTCTTCTTATACTTCACTAAATTGGTTCTTGGATAACTGAAACACAGCTCCCACATGCAAAGCCTTTTCAACTTCATAGGCAGGGATTTGCCAGGGCTAATGTTCTATTCACATAGGGATACTTCCATACTCTGGAGCAAGACTTCTCTTTGAGAACAAAAATATCAAGAGAAGGCGGTGGGGTTGTATTATGCAATTTAACCATAAATTATTTCAGATATGGTTCCCCTCAACCAAATCACATGTAAGGCCAAAAGTTTATACGTGATTGCTAGGGCAAACGTTAGCAGAATAACTAAAAAATGTGAGTTACATTAGTGGTCAACTAGAATTTGGATGACCAAAGTTTCCAACATATACTTCCCAAAGTCTATATAACAATCTTTCTATGTTAGTAATCTTAACTCCTTCAATCACCACCACTCCCCCTACTCCCTCCACCCACCCAAATAAACACCTTGTAGCAACCTATCCCTTACCCCATCCAAGGAGGTGGGGGTGGTTTTCCCTTTGTGAGTAGAAAGAACAGTCCCCATAGATGAACTCAAACTGGAGGTGGATCTCAGAGTGGCCAGGTGCAGTGACAGGTCTACAGAAGGCCTATCACATCCTCACCACTTCCAAGTCTTCTCCACAGTCATCTCCAAAAGTCAGCAGGTAGAATGGTCGCAAAGCTCTCCCCCCCTACTCAGACCTTGTGGGACTGTGGGGTGTAGTGGGATACAAATTACAAAGGGAAAAGGGTGGGCTCCACAGATAGGCACTGACTTCAGGTGGGGCCTTCTGTGATTTGCTGGCACTGCCCCAGGTCTGGACAACAACTGTTTTCTGATTGGCTGGATACCTGATTTGTGGAAAGAGTATCTAGGGTTGAGCATTGGACTAGGAGACAGAAGACCTAGGTTTTAATTCTGCCTCTAAGACTCAGAAACAATGATTTAGAGCCAGAAGGAACTGCAAAGACCAATCACGTTCAGAGCACCCATTTTATAGAAACTTGAGACTCAGAGAAATGAATCCTCTTGACCAAGGTGACAGTAAGAAGCCCAGCTAAAATTAAAACACAGATTCTCTTACTTTCCAAGGAATTAAATGTTTTAAGCCAGACCAGGGGCAGTAAAAGACAAACTGTCAATTAATTGGGAACAACAATTTATTGCAAATAGTAAAGCATTTGCCAAGTGCTCCCTATGGGCCAAGCCCAGTGATAAGCCCCCAGGAGACACAAATACTAAAGCAAAGTCAGTTCCCACCTGCAAAGAACTTATATTACAGTAGATGAAGTACCCAGGAAGATGGTTATTTTGGTTAGGAAAGCAGGGGAACAGATAGGTACATCTTTTCCCAGGGCAATGATGGTCTTCATTTGATCCTGAATCCAGAAATGAGAAAGGAATGGTGGTGAGTTAGCAAAGAAGACGCGGGACAGAAAACAGAAGTAATAAACAGCTGGTTTTAGATTTGGAGAGAGACTTAACTATTGATTGGGGGGGGGGAGTGTGAACACCAGGTGGAGTTCAGAAGGTGAAAGGCTTATTAAGTCCACTGTAATCGTATTTCTAAAAAGCAGTTAAAAACTCCAGGCATCTTACTTCAATTATTTTGGATAACAAATTTTTTCCAACGTAGTGTTTAAAAGGTAAACAATAAATACTGAGAATCTATTTAATGGAAGAAATAACTAATTTTTAAAACAGGAAACAGATCGTGTGCATAATTCCTCTAACTGCGGCAGGTTGAGGCTGCTTATGGATCACTTGAACTCAGGAGTTCTGAGCTGGAGTAGGGCTAAAACTGCCTGGGTATCTTGCAATGGCAACCTCTCAAACTCAACACGTCCAAAAAAGAACTTGCCCCTCAGACCCAGCCATCTTTCAAACTCCTTTATTTCAGGTCAAAGGCCTTGCCATTCTTTTGGTCACCCAGGTTTTCAATCTTGGAATCATCTTTGATTTTTGCACTCTCCCTCACCCCACATATATGCCAAGTTTTCTCAATTCTGTCTCTACAATATGTCTCCCATCCATCATCTTTTCTCCAAATAAACAGACATAACCATTGGTACATATCACCAGTCATCTGACCCTCACTCACCTTTCCCCTGAATTACGGCAATTTCTCACTGGTCTCCCTCCCTCAAATCCCATTTCTTTCCAATTTATTCTTTACACAGATGCTAAAGTGATTTTCCTAAAGTGCACATGTGGCCATGTTTCCACCCTCCTCAATAAACTACCCTAACAAATTACCTTGTATACATTTTGTATATACTTAGATATTTACAAATGTCTTCCCCCAATAGGATGATGGCTCCTAGGGGGCAAGGTCAGTTTCATTTTTATCTTTGCTTTAGGGATCATTTCCTTTCTTTGTATTCTCAGTGCCTAGTACAGTGCCTGGCCCATAGTGTGTACTTAGTGACAGCTGGGTGATGTAGTACTGGGATCCACGGGACTCAGGAAAACCTGAGTTCAAATCCAGTCTCAGACACTTACTAGTTGTGTGATCCTGGGCAAATCACTTACCCTCTGGCTGTTTCAGTTTCCTCATCTGTAAAATGAAGATCATAGTAACACCCACCTCCAAAGGTTGTTACGAGTATAAAAGGAGACAATCTTTATGAAGCACTTGGCAAATCTTTTTTTTTTTTTGCTTTTTGGTGAGGCAATGGGGGTTAAGTGACTTGACCAGAGTCACACAGCTAGTAAATGTCAAGTGTCTGAGGCCAGATTTTAACTCAGGTCCTCTTGACTCCAAGGCCAGAGCTCTATCTACTGCCCAACCTAACTGCCCCCTACACTTTGCAAATCTTAAAGTAAATTGAGTCTGAGTGCAGCTAAATGATTTTAAACAGGGTTATGTAGCCAGTGTTTGAGGCAGGTTTGGAAGTCAGGTCTTCCTGATTCTGAAGTCTAGCTCTCTATACACTACAACCGCCTAGCTGCTTAAGGGTGCTTATCCTGTCAGCAGGAATTGGAAAAAATCCCTCAGAACACTGGTAGGTCCCTCTGTGATAAATCTAGGGGAAGGGAGAAGGAGGAATTTCATGAACAAGAATCATACAGGATGTACAAGTTGACAGATTGCAAGCTGCATCATTTGAGGGAATACATATCAGTGAGATCACAGATTCATGAGTATTCAAGATAATTTTGAACAGGTCTGTCAATCAAGTAGGATTTAAGTGCCTACTATGTTTCAAGTACTGTGATAAGTACTGGAGATCTTAAGAAAGAGAAAAAAAAACCCTCTAAGTCTGCACTCAAGGATTTTCTAGTGAAGGGGGGGGCACGGAGATAATATGCAAACAACTCTGTAGTGACAAGATAAATTAGGGATAGTCTCAAAGGGAAGGCATTAAGATTAAGAAGGAAGGGGAAAGTTTTCTGGCTTCTGCAAGGAAAAGGTGGGACTTCAGTTGAGACCTGAAGGAGACCCAGGAAGCTAAAAAGAAGAGATAAGGAAGGAGAGAGATCTAGGCATAGGGGACAAAGGCTCCAAGTTGTGTGGAAGAGGTGGAAATGAGAAAGGATAGTGTTTTAGGAGTGGTGAACAGCCAATGAAAAGATTCAGAATTAGTCCTGTGTGCCAGAAACAGCACAGAGGGCAATGTCACTGGGTTACAGAGTTATGTGAAGGGCAAGAGTAAGGTGTATGAAGACTGGAAAGGTAGAAAGGCGCCAGGTTAAGAAGGGCTTTAAAAGCCAAACAGAAGATTTTTTATTTGATCCAACAGGTTATAAAAAGCCACTGGCATTTATTGAATACCCATCAACTCTCAGAAAATTAACAAATAAAAACACAAACACCAAAGGGACCTGTAAAACAATGACTATTTCCACAGAGCACAAACTAAGAGGTCCTACCAAATGGAACGGCTATAAATATAGGCTTGGTCATGCACTGTAGTCTGAAGGTCAATCTAGCTCATTTCAGGGAGGATCATCAAATTGGCCACCATACGATGAATGGTTTTGCCTGAACCAATTTTTAAAACTAGAGCTTACGGATCAATGGGAGGAGTACCCACATTGAAGCTATCGTAGTTTTTTTGCTAAATTTTTTTTAAACGCTGAAAGCAAATGAAAAACAAAAGCAGCATTGCTTTCCCTTCCTGTTCATATTCATATTATTCTATTCCTACCGAACTTCAAGAATTTTAACTCTGACTGCTCAGCTATGTTGGAGAGAAAAGTACAGATCCATTGTGCTCTTCACTGTTCAGGCAACATCTGAGCAATGGTGTTCAGTTCTGGGTGCAACATTTTAAGATAGCCATGAACAAACCAGAGTGTGTCAAGTTACCATGACAAAAAGATCTGCTGATAGATCAGCACGGGGGAAATTTAACATGGAGAAGACGTGGGAGCTGGGATGTAGAATTCTATTATGTGATAATGCCCCAAAGGTAAGACGCTAGCTATCATTTATGTATGATATGTATTTATATATGTGTATAAAATTTTAACATCTTTTTAACATTTTATTAACAATAACTTTATTTACCTTCATAGCCTTTGGGGTGACTTTAGAGTTAATTTAGAGGCTCTTTTTTATTTTTTTAAAGGGCATTGAGCACAGCAGAAGCAAAGAAATAACCATGTCATTTTGTTAAAGATGTTGGGGAATACGGGCTTGGAACATTCTGATGGTGTCCCAACACATTCAATATTGGGTTGGTTTGGTAAGTTTTTTTCCTTCATCTTTGCTGCAAGGGAAATCACTCACGGTAAGAGAGGGCTCCGGAGCGCCTAGGGAGAAAAGCCATGTCACTTTAGAAACATATTGTGTGACTAAACTGGTAACCTTGTTCTCTTCTCTGGGAGTGGCTATCCAGTGTAACATCTGCAAGAATCACAAAGCAGCACTGGTGCACTAACAGCTCAGTTGAGACAAGTCTGTAACAAACTACTGAAAGCTTGCCAGGCGGGGAACCAGTGGAGGGCAAGTAATCAGCCTTCCTTGTAAGGAAGAACAAATCCCATTGGTCCAGTTAAATGTGGCAGAAAGCAGCTGATTGGCTATGTGCTCTAGGGGGGGACCTGAGAAGCTGCATAAACCAAGGCTGTGGGTAGGGGGCTGAAGCTGCTCTCCTACCTTAGTGCACTAAGAAATTTCTTTTCCTTTCAGATTGGCTACTCACTTTATCTGAATTCCAGTCTGAGGACCCAAGTGGTAGGTGATATTCTCCCTGGACTCTGGAGAAAAGCAGGCTAAGAAATTCTCCAACAGGAGCATATTCAGAAATGAATGTGACTTAAAAAATAAAAAGTCACAAATAAAACTCTAGAGTATTTTTAAAAGGGAAAGAGGGTAAGAACTTTGGGCTCCTTATCAATGTCCTTGTAGCAAGCCTCTTCTAGCTCTAAATCCTTTAAATCAATAATTCGAAGTAAAGCTTTGCAAAATCATTCCATTGACTTTAAGGTAGATGTTCTTATTAGCACTGATGCTAATGCAAGATTCTTCCACCAGAAAGTGGGGTTGAACTGCCACTTCTCCCTTCGATCTGACCTACTTTGATTTATTCAGAATTCTTATATTATCTGGCCAATGGTAGAGGCAGCTAGGTGGGAAAGGGGATAAAATGTAGTCAGAAACACCAGAGTTCAAATCCGGCTTCAGATACTAGTTGGGTGACCCTAGACAAGTCACTTAAACATGTCTGCCTCAATTTCCTCAATTGTGAAATGAGGATAATAGCACCTACCTTGCAGAGTTGTTGTGAGAATTAAATGAGATATTTGTAAAGCACTTAAAAGAATGCTTGTTCATATAGTAGGCATTATATAAATGCTTACTCCTATCTTGTCTCCACTTGAAACAGTTTTAGCTATTACGTCTGTCAGAACTAGGAAGCCATAAAAACAACAGTCAGGTGTTGAACAAAGGTTGTTTGTTTTTGGTTTTTTTTGGAGGGGAAGTTGAAGAATGGAGTTAGGAGCATTAATGGGGCAAGTGGAATAGGTGGGTCAGCATTCAAATTGGTGAAAACTAGCACTGAGATCTGAATTACATATATAAATGTGGGTTACAGTAGATAAAGACCCTTTTAAATATAAAAGCAGTAAATACTTTAGAACCTGTTTTAATATGCCCCCCCAAATATCCCCCAAAAGGCCATCTACAATAGATGTGTCTACCTTCTCTCCTCTTCTTAACTTCCTTATATTTCAGTTTCTGACCTTATTCCACCAAAACGGTTTTCTCCAAAGTTATCAATGTCTCTTAGTTGCCATATCCAGAGGCCATTTCTCAATCCTCATTCCCCTTCACCCCTCTGTAGCCTTCCACACTGTTAATACCCTCTTCTCCTTCATGCTCTGTTCTCTCTAGATTTTCAAGGCACCACTCTCTCCTCCTACCTGACCACTTCTTTTTTGTCTCCTTTGCTGGATTCTTATCCAGATCATGTCCTCTGACTATAGTTGTCCCTCAGAATTTTGTCTTTGTTCCTCTCTTCTCCTCTCTCCACACTACTTCACTTGGTGATCTCATCAGCTCCCATGGATTTAATTACTGTCTCTATGCTGATGATTCTCAGATCTACTTACCCTACCCCAGCCTCTCTGCTGGTCTCCAATCTCTCATCTCCAACTGCATTTCAGACATCTCTTGAACTGAATGTCTAGTGGATGTCTTAAAGTCAATATATCCAAAACAGAACTCATTATCTTTCCCCCTAAATTCTCCCCACCTCCTACCTTCCCTATTACTGTAAAAGGCAACACTATCCCCCTAATCCTACAGGCTCATAATACAGGAGTCATCCAGGACTACTGACTATCTCTCACCCCCCTCCCCCATAGCCAATTTGTTGTCAATGCCCACCAATTCCATCTTTGCAACATCTCTCAAATGTGCCCCCTTCTCTCCTCTTTTCTGGATCTTATCACCTCCTGCCTGGACTACTGCAATAACCTGCTGGTGGGTCAGCCTGCCTCAAATTTCTCCCCACTCCAATCCATCCTCCATTCAGCTGCCAAAGTGATTTTCATAAAGCCAGGGTCCCACTACGTTATTTCCCCTATTCAGTAAACTCCACAGGCTCCTTTACACCTCCAGGATCAAATACAAAATGCCCTGTTTGGCATTCAAAACCCTTCCTAACTTTTGTGGTTGTTCAGTCATTTCAGCTGTATCTGACTCTTCGTGACCCCATTTGGAATTTTCTTGGCAAAGATACTTCGGTGGTTTGCCATTTCCATCTCCAGATCATTTTATAGATGAGGAAACTGAGGCAAACAGGGTTAAATGACTTATGAAGGGTTACACAGCTATTAAGTATCTGAGGCTAGATTTGAACTCAGAAAGAGAAGTCTTCCAGTCCTGGCACTCTATCCATAATGCCACCTAGCTGGTCCTTCATAACCTAGCCCCGCCTCCCTTTCCACTCTTCTTCTTCCTTACTCTCCCCACTATGTACTCTTCAATCCAGTGATATTGGCCTCCTTGTTGATCCTGAAACAAAATATGCCATTTCTTGGTTTCAGGTATTTCCTCTGGCTGTCCTCCATGCATAGAATGCTCTTCCTCCACATCTCTGCTTGTTGCCTTTCCTGACTTTCTTTAAGTCCCAACTAAATCTCCATCTTCTACAGGAAATCTTTCCTAACTTTTCTTAATTCTAGTGCATTCCCTCTGTTAATTATTTCCTACTTATTCTGTATATAGTTTGTGCATATTTGCTTATTGTTTCCTCCAGTAGATTGGGAGCTCCTTGAGGGTACAGACTATTTTCTGCCTCTTTTGGTATCCCTAGGACTTAACACAGCTCCTGGCATATAGCAGGCCCTTAATAAATTTTTATTAACCAACGAACTTGTATTTTGTCTCATTAAAGGAAACAAAATAACTGAAGAGGCAAAATCATTGTCTTCAAAGTACCAAGTACTTTTCACCTATGGGCAATAAGAGCAAAACTTTTGCAAATCAATCTACAAAAACATAGTAAGCATCTATTATTATATATCAAGCAATGTGCTAGTTGCTAGAGATAACAAGGGGAAAAAAAGCCCCTAAACTCAAGGAGCTTATAGTCTAACAATAATAACAACAACAGTACTCATTTATATATGTGTGTACATACACTTTCTGTCTTTCCCTCTCTCTCTGTCTGTCCGTCTATCTCTTTGTCTCTGAATCATTAAAGGACTAGCGACACCATCAATGGTCAATAACTGAGGGTCTGATTTCATCCTAATATTCCTATGTCAAAGTCTAGCAAATACTAGCATTACTATTTAACAAATACTATTTGCACATATTACCAAAATAATTGCTATTTGTTCCCAGAATACTATAAAGCCTTCTCAATTCAATTAATCATAAATCAATATTGGCCCAATTATCCATGCTGAAAAAAACACATTGTGCATCATGACATACAGTTGGATGGACAGCCTATTAAGTTAATTAATTACCATAAGAATTTTGAATAGAAACTTTATATTCATGAAGTTCCATATTTTTAACTGTACTTCATGATCATCATTCCTCGACTTTACATAGTAAAAGTTAAAAATAACAGCCTGATTACTGTCCTCATAGCTCCAAAATATGGAAAGAATTAAAAAAGAAGAATTCTAGAATATTGAGTGGATCCTCCAGGGAGAATTTACAAAAGAGAAAGACACAAGATGAGGAAATATGGAGAGATTTCAATCTGTAGCAGTGAAGGGAGTACACTTGCCTTTGATGGTATTATCTTTTCAAATTCAAACCTGTGATTTCAGTATGAGGAACTCCTAGTGTAGAAATTTCCTTCCCTGATAGACAGTTTAGTCTCAAAGGGCAAATGAGATATAGGCCAACAGTTATCAGAGATAGAAGGATCAAGTGAGGGCTTTTTCAGGATGGGGGAGACATGGGCATGTTTGTAGACAATAGGAAATGAGCCAGTAGACAGATCATAAACTCCTCTGTAATTTATAGTCTTAGGAAGTTGCCTAGGAAACTGAGAAGCACAGTAATTCGCCCATGGTCCCAGAGCTAGTATATATCAAAAATGGGCTCCATCTATGCCACATCAGCCTATTAAAGCTTACAAGCTCACTAAATGTTTCTGGAGTACCAGCCTGAAGAAATCAACAATGGGCAGGATTTGTCAAGAATCTGTCATCTTTGGAATCTTCCTTGCTAGGTGAAAGCTAGGCTAGATGAGGTTGCAGATATGTTAGAACAAGTCTGGCAGGTACTGACGAGAAGAGACAGAGGATAGCAATTTGTCCTGGTCTTTAGAAAACCTGGACCACTCAGGGAATACTGGCTCTATTTAATCATCTTTATGAATCTTAGAGTCTGACAGAGGAAGCAGTGCTATGTTTGCTGGTATATAGGGGAGGTTTTACTATAGGCTAGAATGGAGATGACCTTATGACCTTACCCAAAACATACATCAAGGGTTCAGGATTTCCTCACTGTGGACACTCCTTTTTCCAAAGTTAATCATTACCGTTCTACAATTCAGATGTTTTCATGAGTTGTTTGGACTAAATAAATCGTCACCTGGTAACCTACATAATAAGACTTTTCTAACTTGGCCAGTCTGGTGCTCAGATAACCAACAGTCTATCTAGCACAAGTTAGATACTTCAAGCCTTTAGGACTGGCCAAACCTCCAACTCCTCTGAAATTGTTTTCAAGAACCCAGGATTACTTCTATGCCAAGATGCAGTAGGGTCTCAGTGGAGGCCCAGAAATGAAAAATAGAATTTCTGAGCTATAAAGGGACCTCAGAGATGGGCTAGTACAACCTTCTCATTTGAAATTGAAGTCAGAAAGTTTAAGTGAATTGTCCAAGGTCACAGAGTTAATTAGTAGCACAATGCTCAGACCTCTGCTTTTTTTTTTCCAAATTAAATTTGTTTTTCATAGGGGTTTACTGCTGTATAATTTCACTTCACAGGCTCAGGATTAAGGGCAGGGAACCTGTAATAGAATTGTTGCCGGTGACCCTGACAAGCCATGGTCTGCTGCTCTCAGACAAATACTAAGACCAAGCAAAACCTCATCTATTTCCTGTTATATTGCAAGAAAAACTGGTTTTTTAGTCCTTGTAGAATTCAACTACAAGAACACCCTTACCAACTTGGCCAAATAAAGTCCTTTTCTGCCCCCCCAGTAGGATGAATGCCATATAATTAAAATGAACAACTCTGACCTAGAAGAAGAGAGGGAATACTCCACTCACTGTCAAGCAGTGGTGGG